TGCAGGGCATTTGCGGCGAGAGCCGCTGATGCACTTGTCCGGACATCGGGCTCCACCGGGGATCCGTCGTTATACTGACCCGTCGCGCGAGCAATAGCGAGAGACGTAGGCGACATCGACCGCGGACGGCGCGGGTCGTAGCCGTCGTCGAAGCCTCCAGCTTGCTGCGAGCGCCGGTCATACGGCGCCGACCTGTCTGATCTGTCCGCACCGTAGCCCCGCCCGCGGCCCCGGTGGTTCTGCCGACGGTCGCCGCGCCCACGGCCCCTTCCTCGCGTGTCGCGTCCGCCGCCGCGTGCACCCCGCATCGGAGCCTTGCCGCGACCTTGCCCACGTCCATAAGAGCCATTCATGGGAGGCGCTTCGTCAGCGGTGTATGGATCACTAGCAGTTTCGGCGAGTCTAGGCGGGAGTGATGCTGACGACGACAGCTGCGATTCTGAGATACCGTAGCTGTCCGAGTAGGGGTCGTCGTACGGTACCGGGGCAGGCCGCGAGGGCCCTGCGCCGTAGTCCATGTCGTAAGGACCCGAGTCATCGTATGGGTCTGCCCGATAGGACTCGGTCATGTCCTGGTCACGCATTTGCGACGGTGTCGGCGTCGCATGTCTGGAAGACACCACTGAGCCTGCACGCGTGCGTTCACGTCTGGGTTGTTTGAAGTGAGGTTAGCTCATCCAAGAAATAGTGATTGCAGACAAACCTCTGTGTCACGGCACGTTTGTGTGCGGCTTCTTGCTCGTCATCAGAGAACTCCAGCTCGTCCTCTGCGGGCTCTTCGTCGTTGACGTTGCTCGCGTCGCTGCCCTTGAACTGTTTTAGTTGCCGTACGAAGACAAACCGACTGTGCTCTGGAACGTGAAAGACTGGTCGGGAGACCTGGACTTTTGTGGGGTCGAGTGGATACTGGTCATTGAAGCGTACTTGGTAAAAGGGCTGGGTGGTCGGGCCGAAGGTCTCGTAGATCTGCATCCCAATGATGAACTGAATGCTACTGATAGGACTTACCAAGGAGAGACTTACATATCCAAAGACCTTCCGATCCTCGAATACAAGGAGGGTGTCAGAATCGAGTGCTCTGTCCAAGGCTCGATTCGCAAGTTCTGACGAAAGACCCTTGACGATGACGACCTTGTCCACGATACTCATGACTTCGCCGACCTTCTCCAGTGCTTCGTGAGGACCGACTTCCTCGATATCAGGGATGACAATTGGCACATCGAGAACTTCGTTCTTGGTCTTGAGCTGAGCGTCGGATGTCGCGGCTGGCCCTGCTTCCTCGTCATCTTCCATTTCCAGCTCCAAGGCCATCGTATTTTGTGGTGGCTTAGATGGTTCATCGTCTGTGTCCGAGTCAGAGTCAGAGTCTGAAGAAGTATCTGAGTCGCTGGTAGTATCGGATGGTGCAGGTCTGCGAGAATGGGTCAGCGATGGAGAGACGACGGGAGAATTTGCAGGCGCACACATCGTCATCCAGGGGCCCGTTCAGAATATCGGCCTCCACTTCTCGTTCGCTGTCCGAGTCGCTGTCCGAGCTCGCGATCTCATGGTCATCCTCTGGCTGGGAAGCCGCCGGCGCTTTGCTAGAGGACGCCGTAGGAAGCTCTCCCACTATGTCCCGGATGATCTGCAGGTCTTGTGGGACAATCGAGGGGACCTTGAAGGCGAAAGCAGAAGCCATAACCGCGCCGAGAGTGTGCGGGAGGGTGGAGGAAGCTGGAGGAAGTGATATGCGCACGGAGGCGCTGCACTAGATTTTGGGCGTCCGCGCGTCAGACGCGTCGGAAAAACTTCGAGCACGACGCGTCTCGCCGCCACCAGCCTCCTCGTCCTCGACCATGTTCTCCACCACCGCCCGCCAGCGCGCCGCCGCCCTCCTCCACGCGCGAGCCTACTCGACCGCGAAACCCTCCATCAAGCTCGTCGCGGAGCTGCGCAAGCGCACAGAGGTCTCCATCGCCAAGGCGCACGAGGCGCTCGCCGCCACCAGCAACGACATCCCCGCCGCGCTCGCCTGGCTCGAGAAGGACCTCCAGGTGACCGGCCTCGCGAAGGCCGCCAAGGTCCAGGACCGCGCAACCGGCCAGGGCCTCGTCGGCGTCTCCGTCCTCTCGCGCGGGCCCGAGGGCGCAGCGCCCGCTGACGCGGTGCGCGGCGGGCTCCGCGCAGCGATCGTCGAGCTCAACTGCGAGACGGACTTTGTCGCGCGCAACGAGCTCTTCGCGCGGCTCCTCGCCGACATTGCGCACACCGCCACGTTCATCACGGACCCCGCCCCCGGCTCGAACGCAGACCCGAAGCTCATCCGCCCCGTCCCGACCGACGCGCTCCTCGACGCGCCGCTGCTCTCCGCGTCGGACCCTAATACCACGGCGGGCAAGGCCCTCGCGACCGTTGCGAGCGCGATCCGGGACCTCACCGCGAAGGTCGGGGAGAAGATCTCGCTGAGCCGCGCCGCTGCGGTCGCGCGCGAGCCGCCAGTCCCGCTCTCGACGCGCGCGCTGCGCCTCGCGCACTACCTGCACGGCTCCGTCGGGCGGCCCACGCAGGGCCGCATCGGCGGGCTCGTCGCGACGTCGCTCGCGGCGCCCACGCTCGTCGAGCTGCTCGGCCGCGAGGCGTTCCGCGCGGACCTGGACAAGCTCGAGCGCGCGCTCGCCCGGCAGGTCGTTGGCTTCGAGACGAGCGCGATCCGCGCTGCGGAGAAGGACGAGACGGCGCTGTACCAGCAGCCGTTCATGATGTACCCTGGCGCGAACGGGGAGACTGTCGAAGCGGTGCTGCGCCGCTGGGCGCAGGAGCACGGATTGGTCTCGGAGGTGGAGGGAAAGCCGCAAGGCGGAATCGAGGTCCTTGACTTCGCAAGATGGACCGTCGGTGTATACAACTAGGTTCGCCCTAGTACTTTAGGGGCGCGTATGGCTTGCGACGCTTCCTTACTTTGCCTAAAAGTGAGTATCGTTATCAGGAAACCTTGTCACGTACTCATGGATTTGCAGTAGAAATCACAGGGAACTGCCTTCCCTAGGCTCACTCATAATTTATTCGTACCCCCACTCAGCTCATTCCAGATACCTCCCATAATGGATCGCGCCGACAGGACGCCGCAAGGATGCAGTGCATCATATATTAAGTATGTGTAGACTAGGTTCAAACGGCGTTCAATGTCAGGAACTGCGTCTAATCGACACAGATAGTAACGATACAGGATTAGTAACGAAAGGCGTGCGCAAGATACAACAGCCGATCTACAGGAAAGTCGTGAGGTCGTCAACATTGATCAACGTATCGCAAGCAACGGTCCAACGTCAAGTAAATGTATGGTGCAGTTTATAGAGTCTTCGCCTTGGTCACTCGCTCTATGCGCGGAATGCCAAGCGTGTAGGCGAGCGTGTACTTGCGATAGTCGTCCTTGATGCATAGGGTTCTATGCGCAAGGTCAGAAGGGACCATCATTGTCATTTCACCCTGACTTACAGATCTGCACGAAAACCGTCAGCTTGCCGCCAAAAGAAGCAGAATAGACGGACGTACATGTGTTCCCTATCAACATCAGATATGTCCCCGTGGCCTGGAAGCAAGACCTCAGTACCAAGTTGCACGCAAAGAAACGACAGCAGTGGGTGCTGACCGTGAGGATGTGCCACCACGAGTGGCCTTCTAGGAGGAACGCAGTCGGCCAGCCCAGGGCATGCTTCCAGCCAGTCACACCCGAGCAGAAGATGTTATCTAAGTTCCAGATGACGAAGCCCAGGACGAACAGCAGCACGCCCGTCGTGAACACGCGCGCGATCTTCTCCTTCTCGGCGTCGGGCAGGCGCTTCGCAATATCCCGGTCGCGCAGCAGGTACGCGGTGCGGAAGACATTCGTGAGCATGATCGCGGCGAACACGACCTGGTGGTAGACCGGGTTGCGGTACAGGTAGCTGCGGGCGGAGGCAGGGTCAGAATGAGGACGGCGGTCCGCGGGCGACGCGCGGGACCTACTAGGACCAGGTGAAGAGCGCGTTGAAGAGGAGGAAGCCGAGCGAGAGTGGGAGCGCGTTCGAGTTGTGCCAGCTGAAGCCGGGCTGGGTATCAAAAAGCATTGCGGAGCAATAGCTCGCGACGTAGACCATCGGGAGCTCGTCTGCGAGCTGGGCCTCGAAGAGCAGTGTTGCGTGGAAGATGAAGCTTCCTAGCCCGATTAGTGCAAATCCCTGCGCGTCGGGGTCATCGTATTCTGTGTGCACGGTGGGGTGCAGAGGGGCAAACGGACCGTGTATCCAGTGAGATATCGCTTGGGCAGACCCTCGGATCGCGCCTGAGCGGCACCGTACAGCGCGAGGGCGATGGTGTACAAGTTTGAGAATGTGTTTGTGGCTTCAGCAACGTACTGCGAGAACTGGTAGTTTGCCTGGACAGGGGGTCGCAAAGGCATTCAGCTGCTGATGACTCGCCTGATGCAGATTGAAGTCTACGGACCTCACACCAGTCAAGGGTGGCTGTGACCGGCCCCCAGAACTGGTGGGCGATACGCGCGCCCGTCTCGTTGATGAACGCCATGAGCTATGTTCGGAGGAGCGAGGGCAGAAAGGGATGGCTGCATTGCGAGGATGGGCTTTTTATGGAATAGACGATGTATGCATGACGTTGTCGAGTTGACCAAGGCCAGTCAGGGCCGGTCCGTTACTCAGGAGCGACACAAGGCGGGCAGATCCGTCAACTCCTTTTCGGCCGTCGCTGCGAGGAATGCCCTCTCCGACGCACGACGCGACGAGGACGCGAAAAGTTACACCCCCAGCTCAGCCCGTCGACGCATCCGCCTCGGACTCGAGCACGGAAACCATCGGACTTCGGTCCGTCCGCATTCCGATCACACACAATCTATATTTGGCAAGTCTCCTCGATGACCCCATCTTAAATATGCTGCCTTAAAAATTCACAAAAAATGTACAAGAAATTCGGAAAAATCTTCTGCAAATGTTGTATTATAACATTTGTTTAATAGAGTCCTCGGCGGTTCCGTAGCTCAGTGGATAGAGCACACGATTGCAATTGCTTATGCCAATTATCGTGGGGTCCCGTGTTCGAACCACGGTGGGACCTGTTATTTTGTCTATCTTAATCTTTTTACCTTAGTCACCTAGCTCCGCGCGCTCGTACTCGCACTCGCTTGTCACTTCACTGTCGACCGCGATGCGGGCAGCTACTCGACACCTCGCGCGTCATGTAGCGCGACAACGACAACTTCACAATCATGCTCTTGATTCCACTAATCCCCCTGTACAAATAACGACCCTCCCGAACAAAATCCGTGTAGCGACAGAATCGACTCCTGGTCACTTCTCTTCTGTCGGACTGTATGTCGACGCAGGCTGCCGATATGAGACGCCCCCAACATCTGGAGTCAGCCATTTTCTGGACAGGATGGCGTTCAAGGTGTGTGGTTCTCTGTAAACTACACAACGTTGCTCTGACTTTACCGGCAGACGACCAAAACCCGTTCAGCCGACGAGGTGTCATCTGCAATAGACAAAATTGGCGGCCAGATCCTCTGCTCGTCGTCACGAGAATCTATCATGTACCAATCCTCCCATGCTCATCAGGCAAACCCACTTGCCATGTCCCTCATTGCCGACACCGTCCTCAACCCGGCATTCACCCCCGACGAGCTCGAGGCGCAGCGCGACGCCGCCCGGTACGAGATCCGCGAAGTCACATCAAAGCCCGAGATGATTCTCCCGGAGGTCGTGCACGACGTCGCGTACGACGGAAAGACCCTCGGCAACCCATTACTATGCCCGGAGGACCGGATAGACATGGTCGACGAACGGACGATGCGGCGGTTCATGGCGCAGTGGTACCGCCCCGAGCGGATGGTTGTCGCAGGCTCGGGTATGCAGCACGAGGAGCTCGTCGCGCTCGCCGAGAAGCACTTCGCGCACATCCCGTACGTCCCCGCGCCCGCACCGCAGCCCGGGTCCCCGCGCCCCTCGCCCGCCGCGCAGCAGCCGGCCTCCCCGCTCCTCCCCCTCTCCCAGCCGGCGTCCCTCTACAAGTCCCTCACCCGCGCCGCGTCCTCCTACCTCTACCCGCTCTCCTCCGTCACCGGCCAGGAGCCTCTTCCGTCCGCCGCGCCCGAGAGCCTGCAGGCGACCTACACCGGCGGGCACCGCTTCCTGCCCTCGTCCACAAGCGAGTTTAACCACTTGTACGTCGCGTGGGAGGGCGTGGGCATCCACGACCCGGACGTGTACGCGCTCGCGACAGTGCAGCTACTGCTCGGCGGAGGCGGCTCGTTCAGCGCGGGCGGGCCCGGAAAGGGCATGTACTCGCGCCTCTACACACACATCCTCAACCACTACCCGCAGGTCGACCACTGCGCCGCGTTCCACCACATCTACACCGACTCGAGCCTCTTCGGGCTCTTTGCGTCGTTCACCCCCGCCGCGGGCCGCCAGCAGGGCAACACGCCCGCGCAGATCCTCCCGCACCTCGCGCACCAGATCAGCCTTCTGCTGTACACGCCCATCGTCGGCGTCGAGCTCTCACGCGCAAAGAACCAGCTCAAGTCGAGCCTCATGATGGCGCTCGAGAGCCGTGCGGTCGAGGTGGAGGACCTCGGTAGACAGGTGCGCGTCTCTGCTCGCTATTCACTGCAGATCATCTCACACCTTTGCAGATTCTTGTCCACGGCCGCAAGGTGCCCGTCTCCGAGATGTGCGAGCATATCGACGCGGTCGACAGTGAGCGCATCCGGCGCGTCGCGGCGCGGATCTTCAGCCCGGAGTCTGCAAAGAAGGCAACAGTTGTCGTCATGGGCCGTGAAGACGTCGGCGATTACAGCAAGACGTTCAAGAAGTACGGCGTGGGCGGTGCGTGAGGTGGGGTAGACGGCGTACAGTGTATATCTCCTGGATCCGTATTACACTATAGCCCCCGTCTAATGCAGCAGATTACATAGTACAGCAGTGTACGAACGTCAGAGGTCAGGAAGAGGGAATAACTTAGTGGCAAGGTGCGTAGTGGTCCTGGTTAGTCGCGCATCACTTGATGCGTGTCCATCTGGTTTGTTGAATAGTCTTGAGGTATACCAGCGAGTCGGGGCCGGGCGCCATCCAGGCGCCCTGTTTCTCTGGCATCAGGTTTGTCACCTGAAGGATGCTGTTCAACACAGGATATGGATGAAAGCGGCAGACACGCACTCGGAATCTCTGGCCCTGTTTGAAGCTGCCCGGGGCTTCGCCTTCCCCCACGTGGAGCGAGAGAACGTCTGCTATCTTCAGCTGCACTTGGCGCAACGCGGCCCGCTTCTTCCATTGGGCATCTTTGAAGACCCCCACCCTGAAGTTGCGCACATTTCGTGGCGGACATGCGGCCTGGATGGATTCAACAAGACGGCTCTAGACTCGGAATGAGATGGCTCACATCAATCTCGCGCTCGATATCATCATGTGCAGCGTCGCGTTCCTTTCCGATCTGCTCACGAACGTGGCGGGCGAGCCATCCCGCTTGGGCGGCCGTTAGACGGGATAATAATCGATTGACGTTCGCGTTGTCTTCCAGCTCGGAATACCAGCTGTCAACACCGTCAGGGGCGCTGTCTGAGGACTGCCCGTCAGCAACCACTTCCGCCGTAGACAGTATTGCCGAGTCTTACCTTCAGCCGATGGGGACCATGCTCCTGCTCGCCGCTCCAGTCGTTCGGCATATCCAAGATATAGCTGCACCCTCTGTTCATATTCACGATGCAGCCGGGACGCTTCGGCTTCCCGCCGTGTCTAGCCTGCCAATCAGTCCTGACCCAGGGGCATGTATTTTAGCACCTACCCGCCATTGATCGTTGAGCTTGGTCTCAGTCTTCTCGTCGTGAGGGAACTGGGGAACCATTCGACCATCTCGTTCCGTGTACTCGACAAATCCGATATCATACAGCTGCACACTTCCACTTTGTATCGTCCTATAGACAGCTGTAATTGCGATATACTCACCTTGACTACGACGAGGTCCATAAGATTGACAAGACCTCCATCGGGCGTCAGGCTATCAAGTGTGGAGATGGCAGGTCGTCGAACGAAGCCCAGCTTCGCATGCCAGGGAGCCAGCTTTGTGGAGTTACCGTGCAGCTGGAGTATCAGCGAATCGTACGCTTCCAGTATCTCGCAGGGCTCTTTACGATCCACAAACTGTCCGGTAAGTGGCCAGACTCGATCTCAGATTCTTAGTTGCGGAAGGGGGGTCTTCACGTACCCGGGCACCTGCGACCTCGATCTTCCTCCCAACTCGAATGAGACCTTTCTTCACCGCTCGCCCAAGTGGTGCATCGGCCGTGGCGCGCAGTTTGTACCATCCATCTGTCACCTCGAGTTCGGGAGGAGCTGAGACTAAGACACCGTCGTCATCCACTTTCCCGGGCGACTGGATGATGGCTGAGATACACAGGACCATCGGGCACGATGGCGGGGCATCGTGTGCGGCAATGAGTCGCAAGGCCGGGCGGGAGCCGCCAAGGAGCTCGCGCTCGTATCTAACGGCATTTGCGTTAGACAAGGGCGAATCAGGGTTGAGGAGGCGTACCTGTAGAGCAGCTGTTTAATAACCTCATCCCAGCACCACCTGCGCGTTTCGGGCTCTACCTCGCGCCAAGGCTCGAGGCTAACCATCCCGGCAAGTTTCCACAGAATCGATGCCCAGTGGTTCTTGACCCATGCTTCGGTGGCGAGGGAGCACCCCAGCTCTTGAAGGCGCGTAAATGCAGCCTCGTAGCCCAGATTGGCAACTTCGCCTTCAGAAGAAACAGAATGGAAGGCATAGTATAAAGCAGTGCTGAGGTCGATTTGACTGAGTTGGGCGGAAGCGCTGAAGAATACAGTCAGTGTATGTCATGTAGGCGATGTAGTCAGCACGTACATGCCCATGCCTTCTAGCTCCTGTCGGCTGTATCTCTGAGGTGCGAGGTTGGATGCAGCGAGTGTCTGCCTCTTGGCCGGTGGTGCTGCGATATCACAAAATTTAGTGTCAATTGCGGTACATAGGCTGTATGCGGACGCACTGAGATCGAAGAACTTCGCCTTTCCTTTTCCCTTGTCCACACGTCCACCAGCTGTGTGAGCGTTGATATTCTGCGTGGCAGAATTAGATGTGAGAGCAGCTCTCTTCGTCTCTTCTCGCTCGCTCGCCAATTTCTGTTCCAACAATGTCCGCCCAGGCTCTCCAGGTCGCATGCCCTCCTTGAACGGCGTTGTGAACTTTGGTTTCGCCGCAGAGCCGCCGCCTAGGCGGCGAGGTGTTACTCCCAACGCCTTCGATGGTGTCGAGAATCCTGTCGGGTGCACGGGTGTGGACGAAATCGGGCGCAATGGTGTCATCACTGGTGGTGGCAGACGTGCCGATGTCGCTGCCGGCGGGACGAACGCAGCGGGGAGCTTCGAGCCCGACGCTGGCGCGAAGTTCGACGCCCTCGATGGATTCAGGGGCGAGCTGACATATCCCGGCATCCCAGACGTCGAGGCGGCAGCCTGCGCGGGCTTGCGGACGAGCGGGGACTTGAACGGCAGGTTCTTCACCCGCAGCGCCGACACTCCGCTCGACAGCAGCGGCTTCGCGAAGCCAAGCCCCGCGCCCGCTGGACTGGGACTCTCGGGCGGCTGAGCCGGGGTGAAGGAATTCTCGACAGGACGCAGCGCGGGCCGCAGGGGAGTCTGGAAGGATGGCGCTGGGCGCGCGGACACCAGTGGCGCAATGTTCTCCTGGTCGGCTGAGGTGTCGGTAAAGTCCTCGTCGATATCCTTATGCCATTGTTGCATTGTTTCGCGGGCGCGAGCGAGCGCTGCAGCGGAGGGAACCGTCCAGTGGCTCCCCTTGGCCTTGCCCTTATCAGCGTCTGCCTTGCCAGAGCGAGAGAGAAGGCTCGCCCCGGATGTGAACCCCAGGAGTACCGAGCCACTCAAAGGAGGGTTGATCATCAGGGCGTCCTCTTCGGATGGCGGCATGCTAAGGAGTACGTCACGACCAGACTTGAAAAGCGGGAACTGTTCTGAAGGGTCTCCTGGAGGGCTTGGCTCGTCCGACAAAGAAGCATCCTGAATAGTCCTTGCAGATTGAAA